TTATTCCTCCAGTAACTGTTTGCTACATCAAATATAAATTAGAATCAGGCACAAGCATCACTTACAGATCATCAAAATATATTTAACTTAATGAATATCAATAGTCTTACTGATAATAAATGTATACAATTTTGTATATCTAAAAATATACACATTTTTAAAGATGTACTTCTATTTATAAAGTAAATATATTGTGCATTTTGTAATTTATTAAGAGAAAAATTCTGATATTTAACCTTTCAAATAAATGGTTAAACTTTGATTTTGAATAACTTTTCGAACATCAACGCATTACACCAAATCTAAAACTTACAAATGCATGTTTAGAGCAGCCCAGTCATCCAGGCTGCAATGACTACGTAAACATCAGGAGCAATTAATATTGAATGATAACAATATTATCTCTTTATGTAACATACCTATGGAACAATTTCTCCCCATCCATCCTTTCTTGCATTGGCATTTTCCATTGATATTATCACATATTTCAAAGCAATTCACAGAGCACTTCTGCAAACAATTTTTACCGAAGTAGTCCTTGGCACAAGCTAAATGTAGAAGTTCCAAAAAAATGTAAAAAATTGTGATAACAAATGGTGTTTAATCTTAAATATCTTTAAAAGATATAAATAAGGGCAAAAAACGTGGACCCCTGGAAATTCTAGACTTGGGGTCAGGTACCAAGGATGTATCAGCATCTCTCTATGAAACGATGCGTTAAAGGAACATACAATAGTCAAATTCATTGTTTTGTAAATCTACAATTGATATGAAACAAATCGGCTAAAATTCGAACCAACGATAGGTTATATTTACTAACAGTCTACATAACGGCCATAGAGTTTTGAAAAATCTACTTTTCATATTTGCATTCCCTGTAACATCAACTTAAGTGAGAGATGCTATTTATCGTGTGACACGATTCAATATTACATATGTTTAACATACGGACCTCAATCGTTATTCAAACTCATTCTCGAAAGGGAAGTAAAACAACATGCAGTCAATAAATATATCTGTATTCAAACTCCAAAAGCAAAATTCATTTAAATCTCTTTGACATTCACTTAAATGCTGTGTAGATTTTTAATAAAGGTAAAAGTTAAGCAAATGTGTTCCTGCAATGACAGAAATGAGCAGATTTACAACATTAGTAACACATTATAGAATTTTATTAGACTTACTTTCATTGCAAAAAATTCCCTGAAAACCTTCCCTACATCCATCCATACATTCTCCATTAACCTTATCACAGGTTTTATTTTCAAAGCAGTTTCCGCTGCACAGTTTTGTACAATTTTTACCATATGTACCAAAACTGCATTCTGCAAATTAAATAAATCTTACAATTAAGTTTTAAAGACACGGTTAAAAACATAAAAATAAAAGAAAACAAACTTTTCCTAAAATTTGTATTTTTTTTTTCCTTTGTCTTTATTAATTATAGACATTTTGATAATTTCATTATAATAAAAATAATTTATAATAAAAGAAATTAAAAAGACACAGTCTGTTTTATTTACTGATATTTCTACGGATTTTTCCGTTTTTTGTCATTAAAAGGACAAAAGACTTGAGTGTTCGGTTGACAAGGGATGTTATCATCTCCACCGCACCTAATCCAACCTTTGTTTTCAGAGGACCCTGTTCGCTCTGCTTACTAAATTAGAACTTAAGTCTTACTAAACTTTTGAAAATCATAACCGTTTATCTTCATATCTCTAACAATGTATTCTTCTCCACTATAATTTTTTTATCTAAGTTGATAATCTTGATAAAAAATTAACAGAAAAATATAATTGGGGACCGTTATTCATGGTAGGGTTCTTAATAAGATAGCAAATGCTGTCGATTAAGAACACGCTATAATAAGCATTTTAACTGCCTCAAATTATATAATCTTCAGTATGATACTTTTTTTTTCTTTGCAATCATTTCCACATTGTCCTCGCCTGGTATCTTTATTTCTTAATGAAATGTTGAAATTCAGATAAACTTAAATATACGTCAGCTGCACATGATATTATCCAATCATTACTTGAGGTGAATAACCAATGTCTATTGGGTATGCATACACCATGCGTTATGGTGACACATTACATTAAAAAAATATGAAGTGTTTAATATGTAATAACGTTTTAAGGAACAAACATGTAATGCGGTGATTACCTTGTTTACATTTTGTGCCGATATAACCCTTCGCACACCCATGATCGCAATCCCCGCTTATTTTGTTGCACTGTTCCTGGTTTTGACAGTTTCCACTACAATTTTGTTCACAATTTTCTCCATACGTTTCATGACTGCATGCTGTAAATCATAATTTTTCCCCATTTTTTCAAAATAGGGTACCAGTATTTGATAGATTTTACGATTAAAATTTATTTTAAAATTTTCATGAAGATTGTTTTAAAAAATAGCATTATGGTCATATAATGTTTCTTTTTGACATTTAAATCCTTTGATTTAATTTCCATTGCAGAACAAGTTGCTCAAAATGACTTACAAACATCCCAAAAACATTTTTAATACAGATAATTCTTTTTGCATGCATGAATATATAGTTTATATGTTTGTATGTGGTCCCCAGGAATGTAACAAATATTACCACTATTAAGTTAACTTCTTTTAGTGGTTTTGCCACACAAATTCAGAATTTGTCGTCGAATCAAAATTTTGATTTTTTATGTAAATATTAAGTAACATTATATTGAGTCGTTCCTATCAAACAATTTTCAATATTTAGCCGGTAAATTAACAAGAGGCCCACGGGCCTTATAGGTCACCTGAGTATTGTGCAACAACTTTCAAACAATTAAATTTGGTTCATGTTTTAAACCAGAGGCCATGGAATTCGCAATTCACAATTTTGAAAGAGGTACCATTGCTTATAATAATTTAGACTTAGCATGCTAACTCTATTTACTTAATACCCAGAGGTAGATCAGAGTAACATTAAGAGAAAATGCACTTCCACTTTATAACCAGTTGTACACCTCATCCCAAAGGAACCACTGATCCTGGGGCCACATATTTCAAAATTTTGCAAATTTTATCATAAAATGGTTGATTAACACCAAAGAGCAAATTTCAAAGCATTAATTTATTTTCAGACTTTGTACACCCCCCCCCCTTCACCCCGACCCAGGGAAGGGGCGGGGGCATAAAAAATAACCATTTTGCTAGGTCACCTTTCTTCATCATGAATATATATATTTGGATCATTGGCATTAAACACAGGAGCAAAGGAAAGAATTTCAAAGAATAAATGCATTTTCACTATATAACCAATAGAGCCCCGCCCTAACACCAGAACCCCTGACCCTGGGGTCATAAAATTCACAATTTTGGATGAGGCACTCTTGATCAACATAACTATTTAATAACATAGTTTATTTAATACGAAGCAGAGAAGAAGACTTTCAAAGAATAAATGCTTTTCACTATATGATCAATAGAGCCCCGCCCTAACACCAGAACCCCAGACCCTGGGGTCATAAAATTCACAATTATGGATGAGGCACTCTTGATCAACATAACTATTTAATTACATAGTTTATTTAATACCCGGAAGCAGAGAAGAAGACTTTCAAAGAATTAATGCATTTTCACAATATGATCAATAGAGCCCCGCCCTAACACCAAAACCCCTGACCCTGGGGTCACAAAATTCACAATTTTGGAAGAGGCACTCTTGCTCATCATAACTATGTACTTGGTCAGTTTATTTAATACCTAGGAGCAGAGAAGAAGATTTTCAAAGAAATCATGCATTATCACTATATAATTTATATAGCCCCGCCCTAGCACTAGAACCCCTGACCCTGGGGCCATGAATTTCACAATTTAAGTAGAGGACTCAATGCTTATTAAATTCATAACAACAGTTTGCCTGCTTGATGTCCAGGAGTAAAGAAGAAGATTTTTTAAGATTGCAATAATTTTAGTGGTTTTTGCCCCACCCCCCAGGTCCCAGGGGGACAGGGACCATGAAATTCACAATTTTTGTTCCCCTTCACCCATAGATGCTGTATACCAAATTTGGTTGATATTGGTTAAGTGGTTTCAGAGAAGAAGCTGAAAATGTTCAAATGTTAACACACGACGCACGACGCACGACACACGACGACGGACGAAAACGGATAGCAATAGGTCACCTGAGTTACTCAGGTGGCCTAAAAATGTAGCTAGATAGATTATTTTCAGAAAAATTGCACAGAGGATCATTCATAAGGTCGTTTACATAAATATTATATCTCAAAAGTCTAAGTCTTGGCAATCACTTTGGGCTAGAAACTTATTATATCAGTCTTACCTTCATTGCATTCATGTCCCATCCATCCTGCACGGCACCCCTCACAATCACCAGTCGTGTGATTACAAAAAGAATTTTTACATCGGTCTGAACATGTTCTGTTACATTCAGCTCCGTAAAATCCAGCTGGACAAGCTAAAAAAATTGAGATATTTTTAAAAGTATTGAATCATTATTTCTAAAAAGACATAGCCCCATTACAGTCTGCAACGGCGTGTCCAAACTTTGAGTAATGATTCAATACTTATATTGATCTTTTGTCCTAACCTTTTGCCTTTACTGCAAATGTAGATATTATATTTCAAAATTATTTATTATCCTTTGTTACAATTAATGAAGCAGCCATTGTAACAGCTTAACTCCAATATGGATTTTGATTTTTTGATAATGACATGTTAAAAAAATTGTGACGTCAAATAAGGTATGATTTAACATTTAGATTTTATATTAGTTTTATATATTCAATTTACAAGTACTTTACATAATTTTAAATTTATAAAGTTGAATAATCCTTCATTATATGAATCATTCTTAATATTTACATTAAAATGGAAGTTTAAGTACTAAATTGTTAAATATGAGAAAAGAATTCTTTAATGACAATATTTCATCAAAATTTATATGTGACATGTGAAATACCTGTTGGTTTTCATAATCTAAATATTAAAGAAACAAAAATATTGAAAAGGTCGCACTTTTCTTCGAAGTTTCGAGTTTACTTTTAAACATTTTAAATACCACACCTCCTCGCCATCCACGTAGTTGGATTGGAAAACGTTTATTTTTAAAATATGATTGGCATGCATTTTTTTTTCATTTTGTAAATGTAACTTTATCATTCATTCATTAAATTTACAAAGTTTTGTATTTTCTCTCATAGTTGCATGTAAGCCATATAAAAGACAGAAAAGGGTTTTTTAGAGCTGAATGTAGTTAAAAGTTAAATTAAGAATTCTGTAACTTAAATTTGAAAATAATTTTTTAACAAACCATAAGTAAGGAGATACCATATGTCACTTTGTAAATTTACCATCAAGACACTTTTCCCCAATCCAACCGTCTTCACATCCAGCAGCACAAGTTCCATTAGTTACGTAGCATCTTCTCTCTTGACAGTTTGAAGGACAGGTTTCATTGCAGTTACTTCCATAGACACCATCCTTGTCACAACCTTTGAAACATATGCATTTGTTTTAGAAACATCCAATCTTTTAGGTATACATTTATTTTCATTTTCATTTTTAAAAAAGTCACTGCTGTCTTTCTTTTTTCAAGGTTGAGTTCAGCATGAATCAGGGAAATTACTTAAAATAAAACATATTAATACGAGTTCTTTGAAATTGACGCAAAAAGGATTTTGAACTTCCCCAGAGACAACATTTATGTAGTCTGTGGAGACCCAGTTTTCCAACGTACGTTCGGAATTCTTATAAGCACTAATTGTAATTCTTTGTTACCTGATTTGTTTTGATAGTTCTTTAAAGTAAAAGAACGAGGGCGCTTTTGATTGGCATTCAGCAGGAATCTGGGCGTAATTGAAAAGTGAAAATTTCATTGACATGTCACATGAAATTTAAAATTTTTTTTTAATTTATCGGGCTCCTGTGCAACTGGAAAGGAAAATATTTTCCCGAAATCGAGCTTTGATTTGCTAGAAAATAACTTTAAAATTGGCCAGATCAGACATTTGGTACAAAATGGTACATTTTTAAACACGTTTTTCTAAACTTTTTCTATCTCTGGGTCTTCTCTCCATGATTTTGAAACGTTATTTGTGTGTATTTTAGTCCAAAGAAACGAATACAATTTTTTTAAAAATGGAGAGAAGACCCAGAGACCACGAAAAATGAACTTTTCCCCAAACAATCCAAGTGTGTGAATGTGGTGCTTCTTTGTCCTTTTAAAATCGTGTCTATATGTGTAGCGCTGATAGCTCAGTAAGTTGAGCTAACTGTCCAGTGCACTCGCAGCGAAAAGTTTTTGGTTTAAGCCTGGAATGGGGCGTTAATTTTTTTTCCATGCAAACAATCATTTAATTTGTCAGTTTCGTTTTATGTACTAATGTATTATAACTTTGAATTAGATGAATTTTGGTTAAGTTTGGTTCTCGAGCAAACTTCTATTCTATAATGTACATGTACACGTATCATGCATTTTTGAATTAAATATTTTAGGTGTTTATTTTTGTGAAACATTACTATGTTAAAGTACCCCCTAGGAAAAACGGGCATAAATGTTACAATCTGACAAGGTATTTCAAACTAAATGAAAAAAACCCTATGGACATGTTCGTAAAATCTGACCAGGTATGTTCAGCCAACCAAATCATGGACATTTAAACCATAAATGTTTCGTACAATTGATTCCTGCAGATCACACGCCAAATGCGCCCATCTTCTTTATTCAAGAACTTATTCAAGATCTACAACAGGAGAAGAGGAAAACACCGCATTTGGCCTTAAATTTGCCACTCAGATCAATTTATCTATTAATTTTGGCTATTTTCCTTCATGTGTCGACTCAATATTTGCCAGTGAACTTGAATTAAAGGCATTACAAATTTTGCTTTATTTTTTCTTTATATTTGAATGTTTTACTGACCACAGACTGTAAATGCCAACTAACAACTAAATTATATGACAAAAAAGATAACCAGTTTTTCTAACGACAATTTTCTTTTGTTTAAGTAGTACTATTCCATTACCATCTACTAATGACTTCCAACTTATTCGCTACTTAATGTAGGATTTTTCTCACATTTCTTGTATTTAAATTTTGATGAAATGTTCACAGAATCAAGAATCAAGAAGACTATATCACTAAATTAGAATTTATTAGTTATTTTTTTATACTTCCTATATTTAGATTTTTTAATTTTCACATATGGTAAAGTTGCCTTATAAAGATACAAAATGATACAAAAACAAAAAGTGATCGTTTACTAAGAGAAAAATATTTTTACAGATTTTTGTGCCGAATCTGTACTCTGATTGGAAGCTTATAAAAAGCAAATTCAGTTCTAGTTTAGTTGAAAATCATATTTATTTGATATATTTAGGAACTTAAGTCCTTTATTATGCATTTAAGGCCATACGTAACGTAGTTTGAACTTTATTGGGTTCTTCCCTGGAGTTGAAGATTTTCACTAAATCAAGGACCTTTGTGCAATACTTTTAATGACTATATATGGATCTATACACCTCTTCCAAAACAAATTATGATGAAAAATAATATGGAATTCTTGTTTCGTAATTTTTGTACATTTTTATATGAAAAATGCTTACGTTTTCATAAATTGATATCTTTTCAAAACCCCTGGTAATACATGCTGATTTTTTGTCTAAGAACATATTATGGTATTATAAGTTTAAATTTATAATATCTTGAAAAATTATCAATAGGTATGGTGCATTGCGTATGTCCTAAACTAACATTTGAAAAGTTCTTCAAGTTTTTGATTATGTAAAAATTATAACTAAATTCATTGTTCTATAAAAATTTGAGAGGCAGAAAAGAATATATTTTACATATGCCACAATTCCGTCCCTGCTAATTTTCGAATGCAGTTTACCATTTCTATTAAAAGTTGTACAATTGTGATGAGGAAAGAATATATAGAGATATTAGCAAATGTACTTTGAATATTTTATCTAGTGAGAAACCAGAGAAAAATCCCACCTTAAGAACTTGCTCTGATATGATAATTTTTGCAAAGCTACACAAGTTTCTCATTAATAAGTTGATGAAGCAAGGATTTAGACAACCTTGTTTAAGTTGGCATGTGCAAGAACTTTAAGTTATATCTTGCATCATACATTAATTTCTACGTGCTTCACGATTTTCTTCTAAAGCTTAAAATCCGATAAAGGACTTTTTTATCTGTACTAGGCCCTCAGGGTCTTGCAAACGTCTATCGTAACACGGAACTTCGGCATTTAAGATCTCTTCCGAAAGACCCTCAATGTCTCTTAAGAATGCAGAGCACTTGGCAAAGTAACAGTTACAACCTACTTTTGTATCATTTTATTCTATGAAGCCAATGAGATGTTTTCTACATTTATGGATTTGTAGATTAAGTCTATTAAAGAAAACAAATAACATGACTATAAAAAGTTATTTTTTTTTTAATTAATATGAACTATTTCCATGCCTCTGGATTAGTATTCTAAGGGTCACCGCTAAAATGGTAGAACCTGTTTTGGTTCAGAATATCGTATTTGATATACACGGCAAATATTTCGCATACATAATGCATTCTGGTTCATTAAAAAAATTATAAATAGTATAAAATATAGGCACAATTTCATAGTTTAATACAAGGCTGTACGATACATTGTGAACCCAATCTTAAAAGACAATCTTCAAAAGAAATAAAATTACCTTGAACTATTACTTCACACAGCTGTGTATATGTTTCTTTCTGATCGCCAGGATACGTCACACCAGGAACTCTTTCGTTGTAGAAAATAACATATCGTCCAAATGAAACGCATGTATGATTGACGTTAAGATTAGGTAACTCCAATCCTGTATGACTGTAACACAGGTAAGCCTCGTGTAGGAGACGGAAGTTTGTACTGTTAGAAATGTAGAGTTTGTATCCATACATACGCTGTCTCTGTCGTTGTTCTATATTGTAATGAAGAAAAATGTATTTTATTTTACATTTGTATGTATTTCTTGTGAAAAGGCCTTACTTTATTGACGAACATATTTGACCTGCATTTGAGAAAGTTTAACGTTAGCTATGTTGCCATACAGTGGCATCAGAGTTTCACAAACACATCTTGATTTTGTATGATTTGTTCGCCAACAAATAAAAATCTATGTTGAAAATATTAATCATTAATACGTCGGTATCCTATTGTTTTTATTGATTCTGTGAAGTTGTATTTATTGGAAACAAGATGTGCTTGTGAAACACCGATGCCAACGTATGGCAATATGTAATTTTTTTATTTTATTTTGCACAATATATCCAAAAGTTAAAGTGGGCGACGGCTGTGGACACTATTAAATTTTCTGAAAGGAAAATTTCCCTTGAAATGGGTCATTCCGATACTTTTTCTGTTTGAAATAGAGAAATGCATCAAATTAATCACGTCGTATTTCCAGAATGGTAATCCTTCATGCCATATTTTTTTGCCATATTTTTTTCCTGATCTTTCACAGTCATAATCTCAAATAATATTTAGGCCAGTTTCAGAACTTTTGGAAAACATTAAAACATTTTTATGGCACAATAAAGCTGAACCGTAAATTCTTTTGTCCTATACCCGGTACTAAGGGCTTATTGAGCAGATTCATTTTAGTGTCAGCACTAACTGTTACACCGGATGTCAGTTTATACGGTCTCATCCACATTGGGATTGGAACCAATGATGAAAAGATCGACTCTTTACTTCGCGACTCTAGAGCATGGTTAGAGCAACCACGGCTTTTCGCGGGCGACTAAGAAAGTTGTTTATGTATTATCTTTCAAGTGTTTAAGGAATAACTGTCTTATTTTTCGATTTCATGATTTGATCAATCGATTGGTTTTCGTGATAATTTGAGAAAATTACTAGGGCAATCTACTTTTAATCAAGATTTTTTTTAGTATTGATAAGCGGGGTTTTTGAATCATGTCGATTGACATGTACAGTTTCTTTCGTGGGATTATTTGAAACATGTAGTCGTAAAAAATGATATAACTATTTTTAATTAACAATTAAAAATTATTCATTTGAAGGTTGGGTACTAATATTTTGCTTAGACAAGTTCTATTTCAGTCCTATATACATGTATGAAGACATAAACTTTAGCGTTAATAGATAATTAACAACTGACCAATCCTAGGTATAACCAAGTGAAGAAAGACAACAGCAGGTTCCCTTCATTTATTAATTAAAGAAAAAAAAACATTGGCAGATCTTAAATATATGGCAACATAGCGAAAATTTATCTATTCTTCATTGAAAACATAATATATTTGTATCCATAGTTGGGTCGTCTCACTGGAAATACAGTTA